GGGGGGGGATTTAATGAAATCAGTAATAAAGAGAATGGGAGGTGTAGGATAATAACGTTCTCTTGCAATCAACGAAAATATTTGAATAAGTTCCTCAACGAACTTCCTATTTACTGATTTTTTAATCTCCTTTGAATTAGCTGAGGTTGCAGGGTTGGGGTGTTACAAAATTTCCTCCAATCAAACGTCAGCTCCCCTAAAAATTTGAACATATGTTAAAGCAAAAGTTATTTTCAACTGATTTTTGCGTGTTTTAAGTGATAGCTTCCTATTTTGTGCTCTTTAATTACATTTTCACAACCGCGATACTTAATCAGTATACACTAATTCTTCTTAGGGGTGTACGATAGACTTACCTCCACGTGGTGCACCCTGGGCAACGTATATTCATACGGCAAAAAAGTCTATTAACTGACAGTTGATTTCTCACTTCAAGCTACCATCACCTCACTCTATGCCATATTCGACTATTTCCACAGTACTCACCTCACCTTTTTCTACCTTTGTGTTTGTCTCTAACATCTCTGAAACACTCTTCTGTTCCCCACCCCCCATCGACTTTCTTCACTTTGATGTTCCTTCTCCTCTGTGAAGTCTGAAGTCAACTAAAGGGTTAATGATAACCATCAAGGCGCCTACCATTTGATATAAATAAATAAATAAATAATTCTTATTATTCAGAAACTTTTATTTTTTAAAATTCATGAAATTATAATTGCTTTAAAAGGCCGAGATGCTTCAAGTAAGTGTATTTCTCCTCAACGGGATTCACCAGATAGAGAGGGAGAGAGAGACTTACGACAATAATGTTAGTGAGCAAAAAACTTTAAGTAATTAAAAATGGGCTGTTTTCATGTTTTTAAATTTCGTGAAATATTCCCCCTTTAGCGGAAACGCCCAAGTCCATTAAGGTTATCTGAGAGAATAAAACCAATAATAAAATAATAATAATAAAAATCAATTTTCGGTTTGAGCCTTATGAAAAGCCAAATGAATAAATTCATTTATATAACTAAGTAGCGACGAACATTCTATAATGTGCGTCGAGGTTTCTAACCTTTATGGACAAATATGAAATATGAAGTGTGGCCGTACTCGACGCAGAAGAAACCACGTTTATCCTGAATAAACCAACTTCGGATTTCCTGTCTAACTGGAAAAGGGATTCGCGTAGAAGAATTCAGTCCCTCCATGTTATTGGTAAATGGCAGGAGTTCCAAGCGGAAGCAATGCTGTTTTCTGCACCTTTCAAATACCATAATAGTTTCAGTTTGCATTTCTTGCCTGAAAAACACCAACGTTTGGGCTTAGTGAACGTTTGGGTTAAGCAATGAAGTGGAAAGGATGTAGATTATTGGGACTGGGTTGTATATACTTTGACATCACAAAAAAATTGTAAGCAGACACAACTGAATCAATACAATGGTCCTCGTAGTGGCTTCCAGTAGAAAATATAACTTCCAAACCAATAAAATCGGGAATCTAATAGAATTCTATTGAAGCCTCGAACACTTCCAGAAAGCAGAGTTTACTTTGCTTCAACTGAAATTACCAATTACTAATATTTATTTATTTATTTCAAATGGCAGGCTTTATGATACTTATCATTAGCTCTTTGGCTGACTTCGGTTTTCACGGAGGAGAGGAACATCAAAGTGAGAAAACTTCGAGAGGGGGAACAGAAAAGTGATTCAAGGATGCAAAAGAGATAGGCAGACACAAAGGCAGAGAAAAGGTAAGGTAAGTACAGTGGAAGTGGTGGAATATGACATACAGTGGGATGATGGTAGTTTGAAGTGAGAAGTCAACTGCCAGTTTATAGACTTTTTGCCGCAGGGTGCACCACGTGGAGGTAAGTCTATCGCACACCCTTCAATTACTAATATAAATGGAGCTGACGGAGAGGATGCTAAAACTCGAGTCCTTCAAAAGATAGGCTCCTATTTGTCACTTCATACTAAGGGGTTTGGGGTTGGGAAATCACTTTCCTAAATGGCCATGAGAATTTTGACTTTTGTAACAGCCTCAACCGTGATTAAAAAAGATTAAAGGATCCAAAACCCTGAAGTTTCACATTTATACTATCATATAACAGCAGAGGATCAGTATGTCCTTCTTCAATAAGTTTGTCCCTTTCTTTTAATGTCAGCTGTTTGTTTTGAAAGGTGATTAAAATTATAACCTTTTTAAGATGCCATTTGCCTGATTAGTCCAACTTTAATGGCTTAGTCTAATACCAGGCTTATGTAAAAAAGTATGATTTTAAAATTTTCTTAATGGGGAACACTCACCCCACATATCAAATCGACCTATGGCTACCCAATTGATAAAAACTTTTTTCTGTTCATAATTTTTACTCTTGAAATGCTTTATTTCACCTCAATTTAGGTTGCCCGTTTGTTGCATGGTTCGACGAGCTCTCGAACCACCGTCAATTGGACGCATTCATTATTATGGTCAATTTGGCAAATTGGTATTCAGCTCTGGCAGACAGGCAATACCGAGCATATTTCATATTGACCTCGTTCACACTGAGGAAAAGTAGGATCGATGAGATTTCAAAACAGGGCAAATACCATCATTGAATAACACACATTCAGAGACTTGGAAATTTATTCTCTGAGCCCGACTGCACACAAGGAAGAAATTAAAAAGATCACTACTTATTACTGCTCCGATTTTTCTATCAACTATTTGTTCTTTCGTTTTTTCCCCATTTTTCTGCGAAATTATAAACTGAATTAATTGATAAAAGTATACTCGATGAATATCCCAGCCAATCATCTCTCAGTATTTATTCTCGAGTTGCCATTGGTAACGAGTTATATTGATGGAAAGGATTGAGAAACGCGTTCTTTATGGCACTTCAACAAACTGTGGCCAGATGGAGGATCTAATTGCCGAATCTTTTATGGTAGTTCATTCAGAACCTGGTATCACGGTTAATCTAACCCGAATACCACTTACGCCAGATGAGCAGACGTGTAGAAATCTGCAATCGAGCTTTCGAGTCAAGAAGCGTATAACTCTGAGGATTGGAGATGTTGTGGGCATAGCATTCGGAGTTCTCCTCCTCATTATTGCGGTCGATATTATCTGCACCCTCCTCACACGCAGGAAACATCAAGTAGCTTAACATTCTCGCTTATGTTTAAACGGAATATTTATGCACTACATTTCTGCAATTATTAATCCCTTTAACTGAAAACGGCAAGAAGACCTTGTTTCAAGACACAGAGTTAAATAAAAGGCACAGTTTTACCAATGTGGAATTAGTTTAAACTAAAAGTAAGCAAAAAATAATTGATCTTAATTTTAAAAATTAACTAATTCGGCATATTTCTCAAAGACCCTGCAGTGGTTTTCCCTCTCTCTACGACGGACAATCTTAATTATCAGTCTGGGAAATCATACTGAATACCGATTTTCTAAGAAGTATCGAAATACTTAGAGTGAGAAGACCTGTCTGTTTGTGAGCAAACAGTTAATCTGCTTTAGAAGTTTAGGAAGCGCTTAGTATGTTCTGCTTTGAATTTGAAAATTGCGCTGTTACCTTGATGAAGAAGTTCAAAATTAACTTTACTAAAACACATCACATTGAAACTTATTTTACGTTTTATTGACTTTCGACCAATTCTTTGTTCCAATTTTATTTCTGTTGAATCTTCTAGCATGATAGAGGTCAAAACGCTGATATGACAAATGGAAAAGATAATCTTGGAATTGTGGTTGTTTCTTTCATGGCTCAAATAACAAGACCGTTAAAAATTCTTGAATGCGTGAATTACGCTTATAAGGTAAGTCACAAACCGGAAGATTTGGAGGAGCTTGCGAATATCGATAATGGGAGTTCGAAATTTCCTCTTTAGTATGGCGTGTACGGATGCATGTTCGCCCCAACCAATACGGCCCTGGCGTACACATTTTTCGTTCTTCTTCTTCTGGAATTCCGCACCAAGGCGCCCGGCGCTCGAACAATCGCCCAATTTGTGCGCAGCCGCTTTGGTCCAATCGCTCACATTCTAACCATTTTCGTCAGTCTTATGACAAGCGTGTACGCTCTAATGATCAATGTCAGTGGTAAGCTCACCCTTACTCTCCTGAATCCTCCTTGGGGTTGTTCAATACACTTCCCGATCAAATTTTGAAACTGTTGTTTGCTTTTGCTATCTGCTGTCCATAAATTGTTACTCAAACAATCCCTTTTATCTGACTCACTAATACGACGGGATTTGCATGATGCAGTGTTAGCATGGAGTGCTTTAAGCCCAAAAGAAGACAAGAACGAATCGGATCCTCTTCATGGTGAAAGGAATCCTTGAATAGGAGCTGCGTGAACTTCTTGGGATCTTCATTGACATTATTTCATTGCGCTACTCATCGAAAGGCGGGGGAGACTGTGGCGGATGCAACTCAAAAGGGCTAAACCTTCTAATCGTCTCAAAATTCTAATTTACTGTAGATGAGCACAACAGACCACTATCAGAACCCTATTGTATATTTTTTATTGAAAAAATAGGTTGACTGAAGCCTGATTATCGAGACACAGAAAGTATGATGCGTATTGAATTGAATGCAAATGCACTTAGTACGGCAGAATACTTAAAACGGCGGTGAACGAATATTAATCAAGCTTGGTACGTACACAATAGTTTGCTTCCGTGCATCATCTTCTAGAAGTTTCTGGCACATTTGAGATTCATTTCTTTCACCGCGTTGCGTTGTATACTCCACAGGCTTTTAAGTAAGCAGAAAACATTACTTAAACTTAGATACAAGCTGGGAAAAAAGTCACCGGCAGGCAACGAAAAGATAAGATCATGATGGTTTTATCTGCTAAATTGTTGTCGTTTTGAATGACTCATTAATTTGCTGCTTTTTCCAAGTGGGATCAATGGTCATGGTTGCGGCAAGTGATTCAGTGGGCAGAACAGCGGTGGTCTCGCTGTCCTTCATTCTAGTGGGTGCCCTACTTCTCATGACGCGTCGCAAGAGTATCGACATCATTCTTTGCATCCTCGTTCCCACTATTCTCTTCGTCGCCACTTTCCTCCTATCCATTGCCCTCAAAGTTGCCTCCTTCAAGCCACTTGGTGCGTGTCGCCTTTATCCTCCTCCCCTCCCCCCCCCCCCCCCCCCCCACCCCCCGGGGTTTCTATTCCCATAATTGCGTTTTTCCTTTCATTTTAGGCTCCATAGACAGCTTTTACAAATTGCTTCTGTGCTTTAGAAATCGCGAGAGAGGATATGAGAAACCTTCAATTACGAGAGTTTATGATAAAGTTATTCCAAATAGTCTTATTGATTTTGTTCGTAAGTTCCGAGTAGTCGTGAGGCTTATAAACATTGGATTTAGAAAATATCGTGCGCGTTTTCCTGGATCAAGTGATCTGGGAGACTTCGGTTAACCTACCACCGAATCATGGAATCATTGGGCTGTTATTGGCTATCCTAATGGCTTTCTGTATTCCCGTTGCCTTCGGAATTGTATGCGGTCTGGGCTTTAGAGCACTCGAGTCGGCATTCTTCAACGAACGTCTTCTCAGTGAGAGTCAAATCAACTCCGGTTAGTTCACAAATTTACCTTAAATAGACTTGACAGGACATGGTACCAGTTAGAGTTCTTATCACCAGTCCTTTGAAGACGCACTGGACCATGTTTTCATAATCTCAAAATAACTTTAATTTTGAGTATCAAGTGACCCACCAACCTAGCCATGAGCGATTTTATCTGTTTTTTTCAAATTTAAGCAAATACACTTTGCAAATTTGGATAATTTGTTAAGAATATAATTTCTATTTCCATTTCATATTTTTCACTTAGGTTTGATGATATATGCAGTTCCACTGGAACTATTGGATAAGATTGGTATTGTATTGATTTTTCTGGCGTTTTTGTTGGTTCTGGTGATTTCCTGCATGTTCGCCATCTCCGGTGCCTCTTCCATCCTCTACTACGATGTTCTCGCAACTTACGTCAAGGTGAGTGGTCAGTGTACAGGTGAATATCTATGTAGCATCTACGTGGAGCAATGTACCAGCTGGTCCATTTCCAAGAACAAAAGTATCTATTGTAGATTTAAACGAATATCCTCATTGCCATAAGTTACAACGAGTTCCTAAAAAAATTGCCTCACTTTCTTCTACACTTATTAATTTTTTCAGGCAACCAGTTTTAAGTATCATAATTATTTATAGTGGGCATAATTTACAGAAATCTTACAAAACAAAATTTTTAGGCAACATTCCTTTGAGTACCCTTAGTTGTAGGCTACAAAATATTAAAGTAGGACACTTGACTTCTCAACCATTCAAAATAAAATCAAATCTAGGGTTAATATTACCCCCTTATTGGCCTAATAATACCAGCCAATAAGCAGTGAATATTGCAAACAAGCTTTTCTTAAAATCCAGGTGGAATTTGGAATTTCGAGATTGAATTGCCGAACCGCCAAATTTTGTACAGCTCTCATTCAAAGAATCAAAGGACTTCCAATTGTTCAGTGGTAATTGTTTCCCCTAATTTAAAATAAAAAACTCACCACTTTTGGTTCGTAAAGTAATAATAATAACTCTAATAATAATTAGAATTAATAAAATAGACCGGCAGCTAAACCTCTCCGTGCCCCTAATGATGCAAGCGATTTTCTATACCTAGACATTTAATCAAATGTGATTTACTGAAGTTGAGACGAAGTTGGTGGTAGTCTGTGTAAATACAAATCTAGACCGATATTCGCTTGTCCTTTGCAAATGTATTAAAGGATTGATTGTTTCAAGGCAACTATATCTGAAAAAATCAGTTTACTGGCTTGCGCAATGGCTTAAGTTTCACATTTTGCAAATAGATGCTTCATGTCTACATATCTGCATGATGTTATATTCGGGTGGATCAATTATCGAGCGTTAAATGGCATTTAAATATTATTTACATTTCAACACAAGCCACAGCGATGCAAATGCTTTTCTTTTCTCCAACATTCCGGGTTTAGCCCTTCAAGAAGCACGCGGATTCGACAACGTGTCTTTTGTGTGGTAAGAGGCGCGGTCATTTGGCCAGTCAACGCAACATTTGTCGGTGTCGCAGCACTCTTGAATGCGCTGACTGCCAAGCTGATACTCAGTGAGTTCGAAGCGCACCAAAGGCGTTGTTAAACAATATGCCCCCTCCCTATTTTATTTGGCACCTTTTCTTTTCCGATATTCAGGATCAAAGATGCTTGCCGGACAAGACCGTCTTCAACTATTGTTTATGGTTGTCGAACTCACGGAGCTTATCGAGCATACACAGACCAAATGGCCAGCAGCGTATTGCAAATAGCCTTCACCATTATGGCCGCCATGATTCCCATCGTCATCATGTTCGACCTGACGATGGTATGGAAAGTATTTGCATTCTCGCATTAAGTTTACTTTTAGATAGTAAGTAATATCTACTTTGGAGTATGCACATCGTTCATTGGTTGCCTCTGTCTGTGCATTATCTGGAATCGTCTAACCAAGATCGCGTTCCTTGTTGGCTACTTCGTCAACTCTGCAATCACAGTTGTTCTTGTCTTTGTTCTTGACAACGTTCCTGGTTTATGTACGTGCATTTTACAGCAAATATACAGCTAGTGGTCCTGTTTTATTAACTACAAAGAGCTCTCCCACACAGATGGTGAATACTCAAGCTTTGTTGGCCTGTCTGTCGGTATACTTGGCGGATTCCTCCTTCCCATCTTAATAACCCTATTCACAACTCGACCTCTTCCTCCTGAAGTTGCTCTAAGTGTCTGGATTTCCGTGCAGGAGATTGACAATCCATTGGTTCCATGGCCCGAAGTTTTTACCCGGTAATTATAGCACAGAGCTCCACTTATCCCAATCTGTTCCATGTCAATTAAAAAAAAACTGCTTAAAAGTTGATTCACTTTCAACAGAGAGGAAATCAGCCTTAAGATGAACGAAAATCCTAAAATATTAACATTCGAAAAGTCGTTGTGACATTTCAAGTCATCCTAAAACCCATTTAATTCAACAATTATGAGTCATTCCTTAATATTTGCTAGCTTATTACCTTCTTGAGTTGGCATTTCAATATTTATCCATTCGTTAATCTAACTCCTTAATAGTCGTGGTAACGGATTGCTAGTTTCAAGATGATCTCTTTCCCAGAACATCATGAATTTGGCTTACAGTTAGTAAAGCAGAACCAGACAAGAGACACTATGAACATGAAGGGATGCGTTAACCGAAGTGCATTGAGCAAACGCAACGAGGATTCATGAGAGGGTTGGGATGAGGACGAGGGAGATTGAGAGGAAATGAGAGGAAGAACACGAGCATATTAACGGAGTGTGTGAGTGATTGAATGAGGGTGTATGAGGATGCACGTGAACCATGTGAAGAGTCCTCCTTGCCCGACTTTTGTGAAATAAATCAGCTGCTCTATATCTAAAAAGCATCAGAAACACAGATGGCATACAACGTAGAGATTGGAGTGCTAAATGCCTGCTACTTTGTAGAATGGTCATTACGTTGCAAGAATATTAGCCGCTGATTGGTTTATATTTTCGAGACACCAATTATTAGGAAAACTCTACTTCGCTTAAACAGAGGCACCTACCCACTCAAACACTTCTCAATGAGCTGCTTTCCTCATCTCATTTCCACTCTCACTCTCTCTCAGGAATAAAGACCCGGGGTACATAATCAACAGTACAAAACTATTGATTGAAATGATTTGGAAAGTGGGAGAATGTGTGAAAATCAATATGGGATTAGCGAGATTTGGACACCCTGTAAATCTGAAATCCCGGTTACCTTTAGTGCCCCAAATCACTTTAGTCAACTTATCAGTTTGGCCAACACATGCGATTATTTTACTCCATTCGTTG